ACTTGTTTACCAGTGGGCTCGGATTATTTTTCAGAGGTTTTTATTTATTTGTGTTTTTCCCTTTGGGGTTTGTCCTTTGTCCGTTTAGACTAAACTCATTTAGTATTTATTTATTTAGTTTTTAGTTTGCTTATGATCTCTTTATAATTATGCATTAGTACCATATCTGCAAATATTTTTAGTGTTTACCTTTAATTTTTTAAATATATAGACAACTTTTTTTTTTTTTTTTTTTTTGAGACAGAGTCTTGCTTTATTACCCAGGCTGGAGTGTGGTGGCATGATCTCGGCTTACTACAGCCTCAACCTCCCAGGTTCAAGTAGCTTAGCCTCCCAAGTAGCTGAGACTGCAGGCGTGTGCCACCATGCACACAGGCAAACATTTTTTTTGTATGTATATTTTTTCTTTTGTAGAGATGGACTTTTGCCATGTTTCCTAGGCTGGTCTTAAACTCTTGAACTCAAGCTGTCTGCCTGCATTGGCCTCCCAAAGTGCTGGGATTACAGGTGTGAGCCACCCTGCCTGGCCTAGACAACAATTTGATGATTTATGTGGTTGCTTACTTTTTGTGTCCTTCTGTAAAAATCTGAGGTTCAAGTTTATAAGGTGTCAGCACACTGAAGGAAATTCTAGGAAGACCATTTCCCTGAGTTGCTAAATAAAAAGGCTCTAAGTGTGTACTGTTCTGTGATTCAAAGATAGAATTTAGAGTTTCTAGAGGGGTGGAATGATAGCATGTCTTAGACCATTTTCCCTGTCATTTCTCATAGCTTTTTTTGTGTAAGAGCTAGATAACAGATAGTTGAGATTGTACTGATGTGCTTTGGAAATCTGTGGAATAGGTATCTTATTGAGTAGATGATACTGAGATACTGTGATGGAAATTGAAGATTACAACTATTGTTCTTTTCCAAATAGAAGACTGTCCCCACTTTCACATCTGTAGACAAAATTAGATTTTTTCTAGTTTTCTCAATATTGTATTCAAGTTGTCCAGAGAAACAGAGCCAATAGGATTTAATTAATTAATTAATTAATTAAGAATTGGCTCATGAGATGATGGTGGCTGAGAAGTCCCAAGATCTGTGAGGTGATTTGGCAAGCTGGAGACCTGGGATTGTTGATAGCATGGTTCCAGTCTGAAGGTTGGTAGGCTTAAGCCCCAGGAAGAGATCAGTTCAAGGTTGAAGGTAGGAAAAAGCCAGTGTTTTAGTCAAAGGGGATCAGGCAAGAAGAATTCTCTTTTGCTTAGGGGATGGTTAGCTGTTTTGTTCTGGTCCGGCCTTCAGTTGATTCAGTGAAGCCCACCCACATTATGCAGGGCAGTCTGCTTTACCCAGTCGACCAATTTGAATATTGAGCTCATCCAGACACCTTCACGGAAGTAATGTTTGACTGCATATCTGGGCACCCCAAGGTCCAGTCAAGTTGTCATATAAAATTAACCATCACACGTATTCGACATTGTCCAAGAGTTCCATACCATATGGATAAACTGAGATCACTTATTCTGGAAAAAGAAACCTAAAACACTTGTTGACATTTATTTGTCTTTGTAATCCTTCAAAAATCTCAGTAGTGCTTTCATGAATTGTCAGATTCTGAGCAGCCTGGCTTGCTGATATGTCGTCTAGGATAAGCTTACTTTTCTTCCAAATAAAGGATGGCTGGAGTTACTTATGAATCAGTTGAATTTTAGGGAATATTTTCAGTCAGAATGATTTTTTACCCTACATCTCAGGAGTCTGCAAACTGGTCCCCAGGTTACATCTGACTTGTCGCCTGTTTTTGTAAATAAAGTTTTATTACAACATAGCCACATCCATTTTATTGTCTACAGCTGATTTAGACTACAGTGGCAGAATTGGCTAGTTGAGACTGAGATTGAGTGACCTACAAAACTGAAAATATTTACTATCTGGCTCTTGACAGAAAAGGGTTTTGTTGAACTGTTTTTCTGGCAATAGTTAATTATACAAGACTAATGATTGAAGGTTGTCCTAACTTGTGATAATAACACCATAGCATTAGTATATACAGTGGGGCTTTCCTCCCCATTACTGGAGTGAGTGAGTGAGTGGAGACAGAGTGAGAGAATGATTATTTCCTTTTAATCTACAGATTGCTTATTGTCCAAGACTTGTCAACAATAAATAGGGTAGAGGTGTGTTGTGGGCTTTAATGGAGCGTGACTTTATACTGCTTAAAATAGTTATATTGCCTAAAAGCGAGAGTTTTAATTTTAGCCATTTTATGCAGCTTTTGTAAAAATTGTTACTAGGAATCTGAATTTATGTATCTTGATCTATAGCTGGTTTCTAATCTCAGAATCAAATGTTGATATAATCTGCAAATCAGTATATGTAATTTTCAGCCTTTCCCCACATAAACTGGTAGAATGAATAATAATAGTAACCAAAGATGGAGTAAATATTCCTGTAATGTATTTCTTCCTTTAGTAAAACATAGTCAGTGTTAGCATTTAGATACAGAGCTCCTGAAAGCTTCTTCCATGTATGTAAATGTGCAAACTCTTCTCCAGCTGTGGAATCATATTATTTATATAGCTACGTAAAATGCTTCTCTTCCATACACACTTAATGTATTTTGGACATTCTTCCATGTTAAAAAATAGGTTGATAAAATCATTTTTAGCACTTAAACATTATCAACTAATTTACAGTGTATATTTTGTTCATAGGCATTTACTTACTTTAAGCAGTGCTGTCAGGAATGTCCTTATATTCATGTTTATTTGTACTTGTCTGATACTCCCTTAGGATAAATTCTCAGTAGAAGGTCATGTCTATGTTGAAATTTAGATACCACTTTCCAGTTTGTCCTTTAGAAAGGTTGTACCAACTTGCAAGGCCACAAAAATATATGAACATTCCCCTCACTTGGTTGACACCAGTCTTTCATTTGTCAACTTGATAGTTTTAAAAATCCAGAAAATTTATTGTCTTTTTCGCTTCTCCCACTATTAGTGAGATTTGGTATATTTTCTTATATTTATTTTTCATTTACATAAAGTCCCAGCCTATTTATGCTATTTGGTGGGTATTCTTAAAAAAAAAAAAAGATTATCCGGCTAATAGGTTTGCACTTGTGAGACTAGGCTGGTTGCCATTTTTGATAATGGTTTAGGTAGGACTTTGAGCTCATTTAGATGGGATGTTACCTGATTGAAAAAAACGTTTTGGTATAGATTAGAGACCACAGATCAGAATTAGAATAGATCTGGTGACAGAATGCCTTCTGGTGCTTTAATGTGAGTGTCGAATCACTTGAATTGAAGTCTCATTCTGAGAGAAGTGTAGAATCTACAAAGCTTTAAGTGGTTGTTCTGGACCTCAAAGCTGGTAAAAGTGTCTCTTTGGACAATATTTTTCAATTTTGATTTGTTAATTTACATGTATAAAGCTTTTAAGGCTGCTTATGTACTTTATACATCTGTAAAGTATATATGTCTAAATTTAAGTGATAAATTGCATTTAAATAAAACTTTAAAATAATAATGTGACAATGTTTTATTAAAAATGAATCATTAATGTTGAGCTTAGTATGACAGAAGTAGCTTTAGGTCTGGTTTTATTAATTTGTTAATATGTTTTGATTTTAATATTAACATAGAGAACGACTGTTCCTCAAAGTGTGGTTAAAAAAAACTGGTATAATTAATTTTATGCATGTTTGTTGTTTTGTTACCCTTATGTTTAAACTGCCAGAAGGCATTCCTCGCATGCCAGTTTCAATAGGGTATCATGGAATAATTCTGTAAAGCTATCTTGTTTCAAATAATGGTAAATACCCAGTGATGTCATTTGCTCTTTACTTAGAAGCAACTGCTATTTCAACCGTAAAACACAGATGGGGACATTGAATTACGTGATAAATCTTTTTAAGATTGCTATATAGATATAGGAGCATTGAAATTATGTGGAAATAATGTGTTAAGGTGGCTATTCAGATAATCTGTAATGTGCTTATTAATTTTTTAAGAACTGTCATTGAACTGAAAGCCTAAAATTCATGTGGGAAACTTCTTAACTTTTTATGAATAATTCTGTAAGCCCCAAATTGAGGCTCACTGTGTTAGGCATTAGTAAAGATTTGTGCTTCTACAGGTTTTATATAAAGTTTAACAAATTAAAAATTTCTCTTTCTAATTATAGTACAATAACAATTTCTAGATGCTTATTTATTTCTGCATCTCACTTGTAACAAATAGTACAGATTGGCACTGGTCCATGGATATCCTTTGAGTAGCACTGTACTAGACAATAAAATAAGTGATGGGTAAAACAGAAAAAGTCAAATAAAAGTTAAGTAAAAATGGGTAAGTGAAAATAAACATTGAAAGAACATTGAAAAACCTTAAATTAGCTAAAAAATATTTAAATTAAAAGGACAAATCAATCTAAGAGTGGGAAAATGCTGTGCTATTAAACTTATTAAATAATAATTAAGGAAATCAAATAAAATAATGTAATATAATGAAAAATTTTAAGTGATTGTAGAAAAAATTTAATAGATAGTAGAAAAAATGGATTGTTTTCATATTCCATGTGGATATCTTATTTATATTATCATGCATTATTATTGAATTTTTCCTGAGCCCTGATTATTCTCAGCTAATGCATATATGTGGAATCACAGATGCCTACCTATCAATTATTCTAGAGCAGAGTACTGACATTTGAAGATAAGTGGATAGTTTCAACATTTTTAATAACACAGCAGTACATCTTTAAAAGTTTAATGCCCAGAAGCAGAAAACAGAGTTCTTCAGCTAGAAAAAGCTTATGTAATCACACTTAATTGATATATGTGTGATATATACATTTATTTGGTTAATTTTGTTGATCATTTTAAATTATTTTGGGCAGAAAAGAACATTTTATACCTTTTATACCCTTGTGTATTTTCCACAAGGTAAAAAAAAAAACTTCTGCCTATTCAGATATATGTGTTAACTGTTACATATTTCCCTTTTCAGGCCCAGATTATTCATCAGCATGGCTACCTGGTAATGAATCATTGTGGCAGGCCACAACTGTTCCATCTAACCATCGAAATAACCATATCAGGAGACACAGTATAGCTTCTGACAGTGGAGACACTGGCATTGGAACTTCCTGTTCTGATAGCGTGGAAGGTGAGCTAAAATTCTTATTGTTTATATGTGAATCTTTGAAGAGTGGTTGTGGTACAAGAATATTCAGGGGATATGTTTTATTGTTTCATACTGAAAATTATAGTGTTTGAATATTTAATAATGTTCAGTGTTACTGTATATCAAATAAAAAAAATTGTCCCTCTAGTTGGCTCACGCCTATAATCCCAGCACTTTGGGAGGCCGAGGCGGGTGGATCACGAGGTGAGGAGATCGAGACCATCCTGTCTAACATGGTGAAACCCTGTCTCTACTAAAAGTACCAAAAAAAAAAAAAAAAATTTAGCCGGGCGTGGTGGCAGGCGCCTGTAGTGCCAGCTACTCAGGAGGCTGAGGCAGGAAAATGACGTGAACCTGGGAGGCGGAGCTTGCAGTGAGCTGAGATTGCGCCACTGCACTCCAGCCTGGGCCACAGAGTGAGACTCTGTCTCAAAAAAAAAAAAAAAAAAAATTGGCCCTCTAGTCATATTAGAGTTTTTCCTTCATCTTTTTAACTAAACTTCTTATTTTGAGATAATTATAGATTTACATGCAGTTTTAAGAAATAATTGTGTTGTAACCAAGGTATTGACATTGATAGAGCCAAGATTCAGAACATTTCCAGATACCTCATGTTTCCCACACCCACTTCTCTCTCTGCCCGTCTCCTTTATCTCTTAACTCTTAGAAGCCACTTACTCTTCATTTCTATAGTTTTGTTTTTCAAGAATACTTTATAAATGAAATCATAACAATATATAACCTTTGAAATTGGCTTCTCAGGATTTTCATCCAGTTGTCACATGTGCCAACAGTCCATTCCTTTTTATTGATGAGTAGCATTCAGTAATGGTGGTATTGGAGAGAATACGCTTTGTTTAACCATTTACTTATTGAAAAACATTTGGGATGTTTTCAGTTTTTGACTATTATGAATAAAGTTGCTATAAACATGTGGGTATAGGTTTTTGTATGAACATATGTCTTCATTTCTTTGGGTGAGTAGATGCCCAGGAGTGCAGTTGCTGGATTGTGTAGTAGTTGCATATTTAGGTTTTAAAGAAACTGTCACACAGTTTTCTAGAGTGACTACCATTTCCATCAGCAATGTATGTATAAGTGATCTAGTTTTCTTTTTATCCTTGCTACCACTTGGTGTAAAACAATTTAGCCATTTTGATAGTATAATGGTATCTCCTTGTGGTAGTGATGTCTCATTTTAAACAATAGACTTTCTTTTTTAGAGCAGCAGGAAAATTCATTGGGAGGTGCAGAGATTTCCCATATATCTCTTGTCCCCACACATGCACAACCTCCTAATATCATCATCTCCTAGTAGTATAGTGTGTTTGTTACAATTGATGAATCTACATGGACACACTGTTATCACCCATTGTTCATGCATTAGGGTATCAGTCCCCAACCTTTTTGGCACCAGGGTCTGGTTTGGTGGAAGACAGTTTTTCCATGGACCAGGGTGGGGTGGGGTGGGGTGGAGTGGGGTGGATGGTTTTGGGATGATTCAAGTGCACTGCATTATATTTATCATTAGATTCTCATAAGGAGCACACAACCTACATCCCTTGCATGTGCAGTTCACCATAGGGTTCTCGCTTCTATGAGAATTTAATGCCGCCGTTGATCTGACAGGAGGTAGTGCTCAGCTCCCCTCACCCACCTGCAGCCGCTCACCTCCTGCTGTGCAGCCGAGCTCCCAACAGGCCACTGACTGATGCTGGTTTGTGGCCTGGGGTTTGGGGACCCCCTGCATTAGGGTTGATTCTTGTCGTCGTATGTTCTGTGGATTTGGCTTTACTCACTTAGTAATATGCATTTAAGTTTCTCCATGTCTTTTCATGGCTTAATGGCTCATTTGTTTTTAGTGCTGAATAATATCCCATTGTCTGGATGTACCACAGTTTATCAACGTTCACCTACTGAAGGACATCTTGGTTGTTTCCAGGTTTTGGCAATTATGAGGAATGTTGCTGTAAACAGCTGTGTGTAGGTTTTTGTGTGGACGTCAGCTTTCAACTCTGTCAGCTGAAGAGTGATGAGGTTTATAGATTTGGAAAGGAGAGCTTCATTTCTCACAAAGGTTTGCAGCCTGTATAGGCCATTCTGACAGACAGGGAGGCATAGTCTCAGCAGAAGCTGAGAGATAGGCATTTCCAGGCAGGGTGGGGTCAGGTGGGGTAAGGGTTTAAGATAGGAATTTATGCTGATGATTGGCCAGGCATACAGCTATATTCAACAGGTTACAGAAGGAGCCATGAATATTCATGAAGGAGATCCACACACGTGTGTTTTAGGTTTACACATATATGTAACATACCTCCCATAATCACTTTGGGGTGGAGATTTTATATTTAAATGCATTGTAATTAGGTTCTACATGTAAAAGGTGAAATGTAGGGAAGAAGTCCGTAAACTGTGCATCCTCAGGTGACTGGCCAGAACCAGTCCTTTCCAAAAGTCATTTATCAATAAGAAAATCTTTGTGGCCTAAAATAGTTGTCATGTTGAAACTGTAAAAACAGGAGAGGGGTGTGTTTAGATGACTTGAACGAAGGGGTCTTTTGGACTTTTGTTTTCTCACGCTGGCTTTTGAGAACATCCAGTGATTATTAGAAAGGGTTGGAAGCAAATGGATCATGAACAGCCTCCTGTCTTGCCATGGCTGCTAACTTAAAATTTTGGGATCTTTTAGCCAAAGGAGGGTCCAGTAGTCTGTTGGAAGGGTTTAGGACTTTTATTTTGGTCCCCAACTCCCTTGCCTAAATACTTAGGAGCTCAATTGCTGGGTCATGTGGTAAAAGTATATTTAGTTTTGTGTGTATTTAATTTTGTATATTTAGTTTTGTAAAAAAAACTGCCAGACTTTCTTCCAAAGAGGCTGTGCCATTTTGCATTCCAGCAATACATGAAGGTTCTGTTGCTCCACATCCTAACTAGCATTTGGTGTTGTCAGTGTTCTGGATTTTGCCTTTCTAAAACGTGTGTAGTATCTTGTTGCTTTAATTTGCATTTTCCTGATGATGTATGAGGTAGAACACCTTTTCATATACTTGTTTGCTGCCTGTATATCATCTTTGATGAGGTCTCTGTAAAGGTCTTTATAAAGTCCATTTCTTAATTGGGTTGTTTGTTTTCTTATTGTTGAGTTTAGAGTTCTTTGTATATTTGGATGACAGGCCTTTATTGAACATGTCTTTTGCAAATAAAGGCATCCTTTGGTATTATGGAGGCTTGGTTCCAGGACCCCTGATAACAAAATCTGAGGATGCTGAAGTCCTTTATATACAATAGTGTAGTATTTACATATAATCTACACACTTCTATGTACTTTAAATCATCTCTAGATTCCTTACAATACCGAATACAATGTAAGTGCTGTGTAAATAGTTGCTATACTATATTGTTTTTAAAGTTTGATTATTTTTATTGTTAACATTTTTGATCTGTTGTTGGTTGAGTCTGCAGATGCAGAACCTGCGGATATGGAGGGCCTACTGTATTTTCTCTGATTCTGTGGCTTGTCTTATTCTCTTGGCATTGTCTTTTGCAGAGCAGATGTTTTCTATTTTAATGAAGTTAAGCTTATCAGTTGTTTCTTTCATGGATTGTGCCGTTGTTTTATCTAAAAAATCATTGCCATAACCAGTGTCATCTAGGTTTTCTATTATGTTATTTTCTGGGAGTTTTATAGTTTTGTGTTTTACATTTAGGTTTGTGATATGTTTTGAGTTAAATTTTGTGAAGGGTGTAAGGCATATCTTTTGTAGTTGTCCCACAATTCTTGGATATAATGCAATTTTTTTTTTTTTTTTTTTTTTTGAGATGGAGTCTTGCTCTGTTGCCCAGGCTAGAGTGTAGCAGTGTGATCTTGGCTGACTGCAGCCTCTGCCTTCTTCTTCTTCTTTTTTTTTTCTTTTGTAAATAATTATGTTCCATTTTTGCCAGCCTTTTTCTCTTTATTTTCAGTTTTAAGAGTTTCTGTTGACACATCTTCAAGCTCAGAGATTTCTGTGCTGAGTACAGTCTACTAATGAGCCCATTGAAGGCATTCTTCATTTCTATTAGAGTATTTATTAGAGTATTTTTGATCTGTAGCATTTCTTTTTGATTCTTGGAATTTTTATCCCTCTGTTTACATTATCCATCTGTTCTTGGATGATGTCTACTTTTTCAGTTAGAGCCTTTACCTTATTTATCATAGTTTTTTTAATTCCTGGTCTAGAAATTCCACGATTCTTGCCATATTTGAGTCTAGTCCTGAAGCCTGCTCTATTTCTTCAAACTATTTTCTTTCTTTTGCCTTAAAGTATGCCTTGTACTTTTTATTTTTTGAAAGCTGATTGTGATATACTGGATAAAAAGAAACTGGTGAACAGACCTTTAGTAATGTGATGGTAAGGTGTGTGGGGAGGGGAAGTGTCCTATGATTTGGCCTCAGTGTTTTAGTGAGTTGGTGCCCCTAGGTTTTAACTTCGCAAATGCTTCTCAGTTTTTTCCTGGTTTTTCTAACTTGAGTGGGACAGGATGGCTACAGGGAGCTTTAGTTGGGTATTTTCCTTTAACCACCCAGAAGGCTAGAATTGACTGGAGTTTGTTATTTCTCTTCCCCAAGGTAAGTTAGGCTCTGTTAAAACTACAAAGAGGTTAGGCTCTGGTTAAATAGTTTCTCCTGAGGGCAGGCCTTATTAAGAACAGAGTGCTCTGGTATATTTCAAAATGGCCCCTTTTATCTTCCCTTTTCTGGAGTCATGAGGGGATTTTTCTCTGATATTTGCTGTGAGAACCATGTCAAACTCCTGGAAGAAAAACTCATAAAAGTGTGGTAGCCTCCCTATGACAGGGTTATTTTAGAATTTTTAACCTCAGACTTCTTCATACTCAGCCTCCAGCAATTAATTATAATTCAAGTTTTCCCAGCCTGGTGGTGTGTCCCACATAAGTTTCAAACTCTAGTAATTGTATTATGTGCATTTGCCTAGTTGCTC